TAGATGTGTCTGCTCTTAGTTTGTAAGGAGAGAGCTGCTTTTGCTAGTTGGAGAATTTAGGAGAACCTGGATGTTGGTGGTTCTCAAAGGCATCCACCCAATGTTCCCATTCCATGTCTCAGGAATCATTCCCTACTAAGGTCCTAATTTTAGCTTAGGGGATCTTTCAAGGCTTTAAAGTCAACCTCCTTTGCAGTTGTGCCATCCTTATAGGTAAACCCTGGGTCTAATTTTTAGCGTGGTCTAACTCTAGTTTTAGGAGATTTTTATCTATTTTTTCAAAGCTTCCAGGAGGCCTTCAGATTTTCACAGCATGCTCTATGTTGATAGCAGATCATCCAAGACTTTCATTTTCTTCAAGACTTTAAAGGCAGCTAACAAAGCCAGCTAGCACCCTAATGCTCATAATTACCACTGCCTGTATACCCAGGTACCAGTGTGAATCACACCTCAGTGCTGCCCTTCTCTCTCAGCTGCATCCCAAGCCACCACTGAGTGTCTTAATAATAAAATGCTGTTTGAGTGATGGGACTCCCAGTTTCAGAATTCCACTGAAAGTTTGCTAAGTTCCCTTGTAGGATCAACTAACCTAGTTTGGTTCCCTGAAAGCAGAGCCTGAGGCAGGGATTTAGATAAAAAGGGAGTTTATTTAACAGAGAGTCCCGGGAAGGAGCAAGTAGAGCAGAGGAGGAAACAGAAGGTGCAAGGTCCTGAGACTGCTGCAGTGCCAGTGAGGGCCCAGCTCCCTGAGTAAAGTGTTCAGTTTAACATGAACATTGAGATGGGCCTGAAGAAACAGGTGATGAGAAGGAGGCCCTCAGCCTCCCTATCCCTGGCCCCATGCAGGTGAGAGGGGCATTGCCCAGGACCCTGATCCCATCAGCAGTGTATCTTTCCTTTGTTTCATCCACCTGCAGGCTGGTTTCCACCCCGAGGCAGCTCTCCTGACCTCAAAGGTCCGTTTAGCCTCCCCTTATGCGAATGGGGAGTGGGCTTTGATCTCCACCACGCTTCAATGTTCTAAGTCAAGCCTCAGACTGAGCTCTTAGGTCTCACCAAGGTTTTCTCCCTCAGGGTTTCAGCAGAGCCATCTAGGAAAGCAGGGTGAGCCCATCAAAGGTCTGTGTCCCTCAGGGGCCATTCAGGTCACTGGTCTGTGCTATTAATGGGGACATCAAAGTCCGAGGAAGTGATGCCAAGTGGTTATTCATCTTTCTAGAAGATTAGATGATCCTTTTTATGGCCCAAGAACTGCAGAAGCCAGCGTACCCTCCTGATCTTTCTGTTGCTCCTCACTCCTTCTACCGTCCTTCCCCAAATTGCAAAGTCTGCAGCTTGGAGGCAAGAAACATGGGCTTGAGTCTCAACGGTGCTATTTCTCCACCTTGTGAGACTGCACCAGCCTTTTTGGCTTGTAGAATCTCAGTTTCCTCATCTATAAAATGGGAATGATTGCATTAAATTAGGTAACACATGCTAAGAAAGCATTTATCCCCAGGCCTGTTACCTACAAGGCATTCTACAAATAAACTCTAGTGTCACCATTTCCTGACATCATCAGCGTTTCCCAACAAGCAGGCCCTGTACACAAGGGGATGCCTGATAATCAGAGGTGGTGTGCAGAAAGACCAGCAAACAGAAGACACAGTTAGTGAACCATTTCCTCCAGTTCTCTTTGTATTCTGATTCTGTGGACGAGAGACACTCAGTTTGGTGGTAGAACGTCTTTTATATATATCTAATGGTTGTTAATTTCCATTTTTAATAAAGAGGGAATACCTCGCTCCACTGGTTAATGGTAGATAATTACATTTAACTCAATCTGGTAAACACGGTCCTATTCAGTAATTAAAATAGTCTCTTTAGGTACAATGATCTTTTCCAAATTTATCCAAGCCCTCTCAGACTTCCTTCCCACCCTACCCACGCTCCTCACTAGTCTGGCTGTATGTGTGGAGTAAAGCTGATAGGGCCCCATGAGAAAATGAGAGGGAGCTTGGACTCACTTGGAGAGGTCTCCCCAGCACTTTCCCTCTGCACCAGGCTCCTGGGAGGATGGAGGATAATATTTTCTAAAATGGTGAGCTCATGGTCTAGACCGAACCCTGCTGACCCTCCACTGATTACCCAGTGCCACACTCAATGCTCTGTTCCTGCCCAGGCCAGGCTGAGATCCATCCTATTCCAAAGCCTGGAAGTACCTCTGTAGCTCCCTGGCCTGCTCTTCCCCTGTCTCCCAGCCAGACTATAATCTCCTCCCAGTTCACTCTTGGGGGACCCAGGGGACATGCAAGTAGCTGTGATGGACACATGCCTGGGAACGCCATTGGTGTGCTCTCAAGGAGGGAGCTGGTCATGGCCACAACTAATTAGAAAATGACAGAGGTTGGAAAAGCAGAGCACTAAGGGGTTCTGGAGGCTGAGAGAAAAGTTCTTGGAAGAGGTTCTTGGCAGAAGTGGCAGTTGAATTGGGCTTGAAAGGATAAGAATCTGGAGAAGACAAATATCCAAAATGGGGGCAGGGGAGGGATTTGACAAGAAGATAGGACATGTGAAGTCACTTTTGTTTTTTGCAGTTTTTTGGCTGGGGCTGGGTTTGAACCCACCACCTCTGGGCATATGGGGCTGGCACCCTATCCTTTGAGCCACAGGTGCCACCCCATGTGAAGTCACTTTAAAACTGTTCAATGAACAGTGGTAATTCTGGGCAGATGGAAAGACAGAGTTCAAGGTCAGGGAGAATATTCTTGGTGGCAGTTAGGGAAGGCCAGAGAAGAAATATAATCTAAGAAGTCTTGAAGTTGCCAAGAAGGCTGTAGACAAAATGGACACTCAAGATCCAGTTGACAGGCCCAGCTGAGATGCCATTCTGAGATGGCAAAATCTGTACTTTCAGAGTCACTCACCTGTCCTGGAAGCAACAATTTTCTTTCTCTTCTCAGAAACTTTTCAGCTTCTCCAGCCTGTGCTGATTCTTCTGGCATCACAGGCAAGTCTGGAAACCTCATTCATACTTGGGTCTCTGGAACTTATAATCCTACAGTGTCTGTTCAGTTGTCAACATAAGATGGGGACACTGAGGCCCAGAGGAAAGAAGGGAATGTTTTCAAGGATACCCTTGGTTCTGAAGAACAATCAACATAGAACCCAGTTCTCTGTTAAGGATCTCAAGGTCACAGGCAAGGGCATTTAGCTGCTTAGGGCTGCCGTAACAGGAACAGCTCACATGGAAAGGCAGGGAGAAGGAAGGAATCACATTCTTCTTTACAGCTTTTTAAAGAACAGTGTGTAGGTGGGTCTTAGCAAGCAAGATTTAGACTCCAGTCTAGTAAACGTTATTGACTACCTACAATATGGCCAGGACATGAGCTAAGTGCTTTGATATCTAAAAAGCTGTAAGTCTTTGCATCCTCTCGACAACAAATATGTCTATAAACAGGCATTCAGGTATTTATATTCTCAATGTTAAATCTAAAAAAGTAAACCCTGCAGGCAAGATGGAAACATTTTAGAAATGCCCACCCCTCCTCCGTTCACCTCCAGAGATTTATGCTCAACTCAAAGATGGACAGTTTGAACATGCAGACATCTAATAAAAACCAATCTTTTTCATCCTTAGCCCCAACCCATAGTTCTCAGCCATCATCATACTTAGGGACTGGTGTCCCCTGTTGTTCACTGGATTTCATGGGCAATTTGCAAGATTTTCAAGGTTAATTTGAACCATATGATTGTTGCTAAATTAAGAATCAAACCCTCACCTAAGTTTCCTCTGCAGTCCTTTTTCCATAATTCCCTGCATTTTCGGCAACACATCAGGAGTGGGGTTGGAGTGGGGGAAAAGAGATTATTTCCTGTTGGTGGAGTTCAAATCCTCTGATGCAAATCCCCTTGGGTAAAGTACCTCAGGCAGTCAGATAGCCTCTGGCTATGACCTTGAGGAAGGCCTCCCTGCTTGTTTGTGCAGAGTTCTGTATCCAACAGGCACATAATACCTGCTTGTGGCTCCCCTGCCTTTCTCATAAACTGACTACTCTGGGAAATCTGTGCTTTAGATGGATGCTTTTTAAACAGGCTATGGCTATTGTTACATCTTCAGAGGCCGGGCAGAAGGATACATTTTCAAGTGGCCTAGATAATTCTGACCCTGTAGGTACAGCCCTGAGTGTTTGAAAAGCCCCTTCCTGGACCCTTTCCCTAAATGAGGCGTGGAGACTGCTGAGGGCAGACTGGTGCTACTCCTGGGTCCTGACCTGGATCTCCCTATGACTTACCAGCTGATTTTCAGAACAGCCTTATAATGGAGAGAGCACTGCAGTGAGAGCCAAGAATGCCAAGATGGGGCCCGGCAGAGCTGCTTTCCGTGGCTTCACCACCTTGTGCCTGTCTCCAGACCAGAACTGCAGACAACTGGCCTAAGACGAAGCTGGTAGAAACTCTGTGTTGTACTCACTTGGTGACTTTCAAAAAAATTGAAGCTACATTTAAAAATAGAGCAATGCCACAGACTGTTGATTTGGCCTGCCTACACTGTCACAGGCCACACGCTTCTGGAGCTGAGAAATCACGGCCTGCACAGAGCACGGGCTGCCCAGCTTCCCGCAGCCCCCTCACTCTCTTTCACCTCTCCTGGCCAGTGGCATTCACTGCTTGCTTGCTGCCTTCACAGCCCCTGGAGGCATCTGACTTTGAGATCTCTGGCTTACCTGGTCTGAAATGTCCTTTCTAATTCTAGTGTATCTACCAGTCCAAAGCCTACCAAATTAGCCTTCCTAAGTTCAAGAGTTAATCATCAGCTTCTTACGTCATCAGAACAGGAAAGTCTTGCTTAGCCAATTCCTCTGAAAATATTGGTCTGAAGCTATTCTTCACTATCCTTGAGATCTCTCTCTGCCTGCTTGCATCTGCCTGTCACCACGAAGCCCTTGTTGGCCCCTGATCGAAGTTCCCTGGGCCAATAGCTGTTGTGGATGTCCAGGGAGACCAGGTGGCCCAGCAGGATGGACGGGGATTGGGTGCACCCAGGGAAGGCCTTGATCTGGGCTGTTGGGTTGCTTGCAGCCACCACCAAGGGTGAGATATCCAGGGCTCTCAGATTACGGGATGGGGGAGGAATTTCTGCTGGTGGGAAGTAAGTCATTTTTCAGAGGTCTCTGAGGGCCTATGGAAGGGCACACGGCATCTTCAGGTGCCAATATCCTAGCATTGCTAAGAGCCATGGGCCACAGCTTCCTTCTTAGACATGGGTCTGGCACTGAAGACCTGGGTTTTACCCTTAGGTTGCTCAGACCTGGCAAGGGACTTGGAGGGGATCTGTCCTGGGCAGTGGGGGAGTGCTGTGGGACAGAGTTTGTGCTTCTGTAGACCTGGCTGCAGAGATAGGACTTTGGTAATGGAGTGCCATTAGCAACAGCGCCAAGACACCAGGTCCTGCTAAGTAAGGAGCTTGGCGGTGTGCTTCTCAAGGCTCTACATTCTATGTGGAAACCAAGATGCTTGCATGCCAGCTCCCAGAGTGAGTGCCATCGTCATGTCGTCATACCCCTAGAAGTGGATGCATTGATTTCAGGTGGCATCTGCGTGTGAATTTTAAATTTTTGTCAATGAATATTTATTACATATTTATTCAAAAGCATATGCTTAACTCATCATCTAAACCACAATTTCATAGCTGTGAAGGTTTAGGATTCCTCTAGATAAAATTTTAAAAGGAGTTTATTCAAATTTAATTTTAAGAAAAATAAAAAGCCAATAATCATACAGGTGATGCACAGATGTCCCAGTAACTATGCTGGTGGGTATGGAAAGAACAGAATGTGAGAAGCCCTGGGCAGATGATTCTGTGGGGTCCTTGGATCTGCAGAGCCTGCCTGTGTTGGTTCTGCTGATGAGGGAGAGCCTCTGCACGGCAGAAGGGAGAAGCATCCCCAAGTGAACTGGGAGAAAGGTTGTGGCTCCGAGCAGAGACTAAGTCAGCACTCTGCAGTGACTTCTAAGGCAATTTTGGAGGAAACAGTGGGCATGGATTCGTGGGGAGGGACCCCAGATACTTCCTGTTGCACAGAAAGAGCTTGGGAGCTCCACATGGGGCCGTGCCCCGACTCTCCCCAGCTCCTGACCCTTTCCTGTGTGTTCTCTCAGGGCTCTCTGCTGAAGTGCCACAAAGAAACACCAGCCTGGGATGGGTCCAGGGGAAGCAAGTCACTGTGCTGGGAAGCCCTGTGCCTGTGAACGTGTTCCTTGGGGTCCCCTATGCTGACCCCCCTCTGGGGCCCCTGCGATTTGCGGATCCACAGCCTGCATCACCCTGGGATGATTTGAGAGAAGCCACCTCCTACCCTAACTTGTAAGAACCAGGCTTGGTCTCATGGGTGGCCTGTGACCCTGGGAGTTGGGGGAATGAAGGTTCTGCAACCAGGTGGGAAAGGGGAGGGATGGCGCGGAAGGGTAGAGAAGAGGGAGAGGGACAGGGCTACAGAGCTAGCTACTGCTCTGGGCATTGCTAGACTTTCAAATTGCCTGGTCACCAGAATAGCTGGAGGCATTTTTTCAAGTTATGTAGATTCCCTGGGCTCCCTTCCAAACTTCCTGCATCAGAATTTCCTAAGATGGCCTTAGCAAACAGTTATCTAAAAGCTCTGTAGGGATTCCTAGTAGCCACCAGCTTTGGGAAACACCGTGGTGGGCTTACTGGTCAGAAGGAGTGTCCAGGTGCCTCTGTGTGATCTCTCATTCAGGTATAGTCTCTACGGTCAGACTGGGCTAGGGCTTCAGAGAGAAGAGTCACACCAGAGGGCCTGTAGCTCTGGCAGTTAAAGCTGTGTCTGGTGCAATGCCTGGCCCATTGTGACAGCTCCATAAACACCGTGGAATACATACAGGAATATGTCTCTATGGGGGGGACCTGAGAGACAGAGTTCCCAATCACTGCAGATTTCAAGCTTGAGTGGGTTACTACCAGTTCCCAGATTGATTGTGGATGGGTGAGTTGGGCAGTAAGATTTAAAAACCCTCAGGCATCTTGCTCTTAGATTCTGTGGAGCCTACATGTTGGGCCACATCAGTTCCTGGCATTAGGATCCCAGGCAGAAGGAATACTCTGGTGCTGGGATACTCCCTACCACAGATGACCCTATGTGGCTCTAGGGACTGAGGACATAAGGCTGGAACTCCCCTGTTTGTTCATTCATTCATTCAACTAATATTCATTGAAAACAACTTGATAACTGGCTCTCCATTAGGCCCTGGGACACCACAGTGGATTAATCACAGTTGTCCTCAGAAAGCCTGTAGATAGGGACGTAAAGAATAATTGATAGTTAAAATATCGGGTGACAAGGGCAACCATTAGGGGACCAGAGAAGGGTGCTGAGGAAGCACAGTGGACCACCTAACCTACCTTTGAGGGAAGGTCAGTGGTGGCTTTGCTGAAAGTAGCAAGGCCTGATTTCTGGTAAATCACATACAAAGGGGCAGAAGGCATAAACACCCGTCGGAGGCAGATTGACGGAGGTACTGTACACTATTTTAGTAAGAAAACCATGACAAGTGTATTAAGCACTTATAGAAATATTCACATAAACAATTAGGTTTAATCCTATTGTGGGTCAGGCCCTGTGTTGGGGCCATGACGTACAGAGGTGACTGACAGAGTCCTCAGTTTTTAGCTGAGTTTGGGGAGATGGTAATGCTCACGTGCAAGCCTAGGACAATTCTAGGAAAGGACTCAAAATAGAAGGGTGTTTCCAAAGAAGAACTATGTTCTAAATGGAGCAATCTCAGGAGGCTTCTTGAAGGTGGCCCTCGGACTGCATTTGAAAGAAACTGAAGAGCATGAGCAAGCAGATGTGAGGAGAGGGCCGTCCAAGCAGGGGACCAGTTTGAGCAAAGCCTGAATGCCAGCATCTGCTTGAAAGTCCAACTTCAGGTGGTTCCTGGTAGGGAAGCCTGGACATGTTTTGCTCTTCTGCAGAACAGAAGACGGTGCTGCAGGAGCAAAGCATTTGAAATTCAACCCGTGTCCTGCTCTGCATATAATCTGGGAATCGTTGAGCTATTTAAGTTATATATGTCTGTATTATTGGCATAGTCATGGGGACATTGTCAGGGTTAATGGTTTATGGACAATTATTCTGAACAGTGTGCTCTTCTACCCTGGCACCAGAACAAAGAGAATTATAGTTTGCTTGTTTGTTTGTTTGTCTGTGTTGGAAACCATGAGAGCGAGCCATGATTAGACCTTGTACTCCCAGATATCTCTTCTGCATAGGCAGAGGAGATGGCCAGGTCACCCTGCTGTCACAAGAAGAGCCCCCTCCAGGCAAGTTTGCTGATAGCAATTCTGAGGACTTTCTCCTCCCCTTCTCCAAGGTGCTTCCAGAACTTAGACTGGCTGTTATCAGATCAACACTTGCTCAGGGTGCATTACCCCAAATTCGGAACATCGGAAGACTGCCTGTACCTTAACATCTACGCGCCGGCCCACGCTGATATGGGCTCCCAGCTCTCAGTAAGGCTGACTGCTGTGCTTGGCCTGGGATCCAGGCAGGGTGGCTGTGTGCTTGGAATCAAACTTAGCCTCCTGTTGAGTAAAAGGGAAATGTAATCATGGTAATAACTTCCAAAAATCATTATAACGACAGATTCAATTTATTGACTTTTCTGTTTGGTTTTTTAAATTTTATTTATTTATTTTATTAAATCATAGCTGTGTACATTAATGCAATCATGGGGTACACTGTGGTGTTTCATATACAATTTGAAATACTCTCATCAAACTAGTTAACATAGCCTTCATGTCATTTTCTTAGTTATTGTGTTAAGACATTCATACTCTGCTTTTAGAAAGATTCACTTGTACCCTTGTAAGATAAACCATAGAGATGACCCCACCAATCACCCTCCCTCCACCCATCCATCCTGTTTGGTTTTTTTTATTGACAGTGACTTTTTATTTGTATTTTATTTTCCCTCTCCCCTCTGTTGAGCATTTAATAATCTGTAACCTTTCAGAAAAGATACTGCTTAAAAGGACTGATTTTTTTTGTTTAATTTGAGAAATCCTTTTTTAAAATAGGATAAGTTTGTCTATGGTAATTAAGGCAGGTAGTAATGTTAAGTATTTCCTTTAAGAATGTAAAAGATCCCCATGTAAGTGAGTGGGGTAAAGGCACATTCTACTTTTTTAGCCACACCCTCCCGTCCTCCTCTCTCCCATATGCCTCTGCTGTGGGAGACGTGCTGTCTTGCATCATAACAGAAACATCTATTGAGTGCTTACTGTGTGCCAGGCACAGTACATTATTTCATTTAACTCCCACAGTAACCCAGTGGGTAAGAGTGAGTGGGCCCATTCTATAGACAGGGAAGTTGAGGCACAAGAAGGGGAGAAATGACTTGCTCTATGCACATAGTAAGTGCTAGATCCTGGCACCAAAGCCAATGCTTTGTCCAGCTCCCCTTTTTCCTTTGTGGCTATCTTGTCTTTCTCTGTTCCAAGGGTGGTAATCACCAACATGACCTTAGAGGAGGGATGGAGGGGATTTATTATTACATATACAAACAGGGATAATACCATTTGGATACTGATTTATGTTCCCTGGTCCCAGTTTTTCTAAACAATATAGTAAGGTTCCCACACTTTCCTCTGAAGTCAGAGAAAAGTCTTAAAACATCTTGAGCTGCATGAGCTCTTCTATCCCGTGATTTCCTTCTCCCTGTGGGTCACAGGCTCACTGCTATTTAGTTAATGCTTTCTGAGCACTCGAAGTGTCTGATTGATCCTGTTCTTGAAGCTTTAGATGCAGAATCTTGTATAAACCTCATGATAAGTGACACACCATCATTTGTCACATCTTATAGATTAAAAAAAAAGAGAGCGCCTCAGAGACGTTAAGTAATCCTCCCAAGATCACACAGGTAGGCAGTGGTAAAATGGGAAACAAAACCAGGATTTCAGGCACCAGGGCTCAGCTGTGGGCCTTCTTAGACAAAAACCTCTCACCCTCCTTAAGAAGGAAAAGTGAAGCATTTGTACTTCACCTGAAGAAAGAATGTCCCAACACCCAGAGGGAGGGGAAGGGCGCCTGGCAGGCTGACTGACCTGGTTCCTCTCCCTCCTCAGGTCATGGTGTGGTTCCCGGGGGGCGCCTTTGAGATGGGCTCAGCCTCCGTCTTTGATGGGTCCGCCCTGGCTGCCTATGAAGACGTGCTGGTTGTGACCACCCAGTACCGGCTGGGAATATTTGGCTTCTTCAGGTGAGTCTCCCCAAGTGATTGACCTGCTAGATCCCCAAGGGGAAATTGAGCCTTCAGCAGCATTCAACAAATTTGGCCCTAATAAATTAGCTGGATAACTTTCACAGCTGTAACCAGATAAAGCTCCAAATCTTTGTGGCTGAACGGAACAAAATCTCATTCTTACACAAGTAAAGCTATGGTTTAAAATAATAAAAATCTCATTCTCACTCTAGTATAAAGTCCAACGGAATGTCCCTGATTAACAGACATCCTTCTACAAGGTCAACCAGGGACACACATTCCTTCCACCTTGTGGCACTAATATGGATTCTCGGGTCTCAGCTCTTTTGCATTTGGCCAGTGGAAGGAGAATTTGCAAGGAGGTTCATGCAAGGGAGGTTCTTCCGGGTCGGGTGGAGGTGGGGGAAAGGTCCTGACTTATTTTTGCTTTCCATTGGTGTAATTCAATCACATGACCACATCCATCTGCAGGGGCCTCCACAAATGTGGCCCAACTGTGTGCCCTGGAAAAGAGGAAACTGTGAGAAGTTAGTAGTGTCAAATGCTTATCCAAGAACTTCTCTAAGCTGTGTTGACTTCCCTCCCTCCAGTAATACCAAACACATATAGGGGCACTCACTGAACCAGGCACGGTGCTGAGCCCTTTAGTGCTTTAATTTCAACTCCCCCTCAAAATAATCCTACAGATTATTTTACAGATCAGAAAGGCACTAGTGTTATTCCCATTTCACAACTAACTGGAAAATAGGAACACAGGGACACTAAGCAACATCCCAGAGGTCACAGAACAGAGCTGGGTCTCTTGATCACATCTGTTATCTTGCCTAAAATTTGGCAGGTTAAGTCTGCCTGACCTGGTGCAATGTGAGCAAAGAGAGATAGAGGGGCTGGGCCCCAACTGTGCATGGAGCCCACTGTCCCTTACTCTGAGGAAAGGCAGCATTGATTCAAACATGAATCCTGCATTCCAGAGGTTCAGAGGCTAGTGGGGGAGGTAAGGCAGGGACACAAATATCCATGATACTGGCAGGACGTGATCGGTTCTCCAAGAGTGAGAAGCCGCTGGCTGTGGAAATGGAGATGGGAGCTGCAGGGTGTCGGGGAGGCTTCAGAAGAGAAGTGGCATTTAAGCTACATCTTAGAGATGTGGTTATGCTTGAGGAGGAGGGGTTGGGAGAGAGCGGGCTTGGCTAAGGACGCTGCTGTACAAAGGTTAGGGAGCTGGATGGGATGTGCCATGTGTGGGATTGAGGCATTGTTGGGCCTGTAGCCCCCAGGGCCTGGGAAGTAGCAGCCAGGTGGGCTGACAGGTGCCTCAACCATAGCAATTACACTTGGAACTGCTTTCTATGTTAGGATTCTGCATAAGAGTTCTTTGGAAGAAAGATCTCCAGCAACAATTTATAACATTTGGGTTCAAGTGTGGGTAGATGTGGATATAGCAGGAAATGGATGTAGAAAGACAGGACGGGCTGAGGGGAAAGGCCTGGAATTCCAGGCTATGTGTGGAGTATGGGCTTTTCCCAAGACAGATCAAGGGACCAAGGAGTACCCTGCTCAGAACCGTGTATGGGGAAGCAGAGTGGAGGCTAGGCTAGGGGTGCCATACTGCAGTTGGGGAGTCCACTTGGGAAGCTACCGCACTGCTTTGATTCAGGGGTGGCTGAATCACAAGGGCAGTAGCTAACATGTATCTAACGTGCATAGGATGTGCTTATTGTGTGCCAGGCAACCATGTGAAGCGGGCACTCTCATTTTCTCCATTTTAAATGTGAGAAGACTGAGGCAAAGCAGGTCAAGTGACTTCTTAAGATCACACAGAAAGTAAGTGTCCAGGCTAGAAGCTGAGATCTTAACTGGTGAGGCCTAATTTTTCTCAGAATAGACAGAAGTGGAAGAGAGGGATCAGGGTGGGAGCCGTGATGGAATGGAGCTGGTGTTGCCAGCATCTTTCCTAATGTGGGGGGTCTGAGAGAGAAGGTGGAGAAGGAAATATTCCCCACTAGAGACAGGGCCCAAGGTGGTGGGGCACACGTTCCCATCTCCCTCCAGCCCAGCCTCAGCCAAGTACCTGCTAATATCTTCCACTGACTGCACACAGGGAAAGTCTGGGTAATGCAGTCCCTGGAGGTCAGCTTTGGGAACAGGGCAGAGAAGGGCAGAGAGAGGCCCCAGAGGAGAAAAGAAAAAGCAGCATTATCCACTTCCCAGACTGTGAGGCTGAGGGGAGTACTGGCCATAGGTCCCTTAGAACAGTGTCTGGTATGTGTTGCTGCAGCTACAGTTACTGCTGTTGCTGTTATTATCATTTTTTAAAATATATTCATTATTTAGATCTCTGTGCCCAGAAAGGCCTTGTTTTCTGGTACAGATTAACTTTTAGATGTGAGACTCTTCTGAGATTCATGAATTCAGGGGAGCCTGCGAATATCCTGACATTGTACAAGCAACATTTTATGTGTATTTTTCTTGGGTGCATAGCTTTCCTCAGGTTCTCAAAGAAACTCCCTTCCTAGCCAAGGGTGAGAACTAAGCCTGGTTTCTCTAGGACGTCCAGGCCTCTGACACCCAAAGCCCTCATGGGTGACACCTGCCACCAGCCTCTACTCAGAACTCCTTGGGCGGTGGGGAACAGTGTGGCCAACTGAGAATTTTCACCCTGCCTCTTGCTCCCAGCACGCAAGATCAGCATGCTCCAGGGAACTGGGCCTTGAAGGACCAGGTGGCTGCCCTATCCTGGATCCAGGAGAACATCCAGTTCTTCGGTGGGGACCCCGGCTCTGTGACTATCTTTGGCGAGTCAGCAGGAGCCATCAGTGTCTCTGGCCTGGTGAGTTCTCAGCTTTGTGACTTGAATGGCCCTAGGTGGTGGTGATGGTGGGTGGGGTTTTTCAAAATGGACATGACAATCACTCCCATTTGACTGGGGAGTGATTGAACAAACACATTAATGCACCCTATGTCCCTTGTGCCTCACAAAAACATCCTGAGTATTTCAGTCTCCTTTGATGGAAGGGACAGCTATCATTGGCAAGAGTTTTAATGAATCACTAAGATCACCTAATGAGTAATAATTTGAGGAAAAATTCCTCATATTTGCAGAGTAGAAGCTCTAGTATCCAGTTTACCAGGACTGGTAATTACACTTTTAATAGAAAAAAACTCAGCTAAAGCGTGAAACAACCAAAGATGCGTGTAAGCATTTTATTTTAAGTTAAACCATGAAATATACATTCCCTCACCAATGGTTTGCTACAGGGCCTTATGTTTTCAGAGTTGGTCTGCTGGCTTGAATTCCAACATGGGCTCTCTTGCATAAACCACCCGCAAAATTCCCTGTCCTCAAATTACATTTCCAGTTTCTTTACGGCAAGCCCAAACTTAAAGAAGCCCACAGGGGGGCATTTCCACTTGGACTCCCCCCTTCCCCCACTGATGGAGATTCTGTTCCCCCTCCTTTGCTTATCAATATTTCTATCAATCTTTCCTTGTCAGTAAACTCTGTCCTGTTGCTGGCAAAAAAAAAAAAAAAAAAAAAAAAAGAAGAAGAAGCAGGAGAAGAAGCAAAAGTCTTATGGCAGCACATTATGGAGTTTTATACTTTTCCTCCAAATATTTTACCATGATCTTGTCCACACCTAATTTGACAGCAATATTTTTTAGCTGTCTTTTATCAAGGTTCTTTTTCCCAGATGTAACTTTGTTTCCTTTTTACACATATGGTTCATTTGTTCCCAAGATGTGTCATTGACTAGGTAATGAGGATAACAAGTTCAACCGACAATACGGGTTTGGAAGCAAACACACCTGTCAGCGAGAAGCTGGTGGGAGTAGACGTGAACAGAGAAGCTAGAAAATGGCCCCCTGGCCCTGAGTGGTCAGCATTTCCTCTGCACCAGTTAGCAGCATATTGCAAAAATCAGATGCTGGTAGTGGATTAAGAGAGCTTCTGCTGAGTACTTGACAATATGCAAGGTATTTTTATATCTTCAAAATTACCTTCTAAGGTAACTTAGGTTAGCCTGACTTTAGCTGGATTACAACAGCCATCATTTCATGAGTGAAATTTGACCAGGAACTATGCAAAGATTTCTATGTTCATTTTTTTCCCAACTGGTCACAGCAGTTCTGTGATATGGGCTCCATTTATACTCCAGGTTTTACAGAGAAGTGAACTGTTGCTTAGAGATAATATTAAGCAACTTGCCTGAAGTTACCCAGAGAGGAAGAGAAGGAGCCAGAACTCACGTGTCTGAGTTTGACTTCGAAGTTGCCCAAACCTTCACAGCTAGTCCTAGAACTCCCAAACCAGGATTTTAAAAAATCCCTTTAAGGCTAGAGCTCTTAAGAAGGCTTCCTGGTAAGGTTCTTTAAGGAGGGGATGGATGACGTGTGTGAGGGGTGGGGAGCCCCTGGATAACCTTTCCTGGGTCTCCTGTGTTCTCTCTACAGATTCTATCTCCCATGGCCAATGGCTTATTCCACAGAGCCATTATGCAGAGTGGGGTGGCTATCATTCCTTACCTGAAGGCCTCTGATGACAAGAGGAGTAAGGACGTAGGTATATTGTTGACACCTTTCCAACTGCCCCTTCCTTCATCAGGACAGTCTGTGGTCAGTAGACTGCCATCTTCTCTCTTGTCTTGCCTTAGTGACCCTGCCCAGGGAAACTCATGCTGGCCCAAGGTGAGCTTTGCTTCTCCAAGGAAGGTCTGGTTGAGCGGGAAATGAGTCCAGCCACACAGTGCATCACTGGTGTGTGTGGATGTGTGTGTTCTAGTTCTTAGATCTTATGCGTTATTCTTTGCCTGTGATATATAACTCTGTCCCTTGTATGTGGTATTATATACAGCTCATCTCTGTACTGATTCTATTCCACAGAGAATGGTGACCTAGGTGACCTAGGGTACTACATTAAGAAAGGCTGTTTCCAGTGGGGATAGGCTATGACTGATTAATGTTGTCTGGTATGGGATTATAAGGGAGCAGCGGGGCCTATGTCCCAAGATGGTTATTATCTGTCTTCTTGTTTTCACTCTCTACTAGATAGTGAGGCCCTGGAGGCTGAAGTCTCTCTGTCCTTCATGTCCCCAGAATAATAGCTGGTATATATTGTGCAACCATAAGTGTTTGCTGGATGAATGAATTAAGAAATGCAATGTTGTATTCAATATGTATTAATTAACCACTGGGCTATGGAACTATCTCCCAAGTACTAATCATTTCAGAGGTATAATTTCTTAAGCACTTTCTATGAAATAGCAGAGTTCACCAAGGGCAGAAACACAGAATTATAAGATTATAAATATATCCGCGACACATGGGGAATACTGATTTTGGCAACATTCTCTAGAAAGCTACAGTTTGTGCATATATGTATCTTTATTCTTTTTTCCTACATTTGTTGAGTGTTTTCCCAGCTCTGTTAGAATATGTAGGTTTATCAGTGGGTAACGCATATCCTAAACTTGAGGAGAATATAATCTTTTTATTGTAAAGGTTTTTTTTAAACCCTGGAATCCGTGGATAGCTTTGGGAGGTGGCCCTTGAACACCCTCTAACTGTATGCAGTCTCTGTATGCTGGGGAATTCTCCCAGGGAGTGGGTCTGTGGCTTCCTCTGGACTCTGAGAGCATCCACGACTCCCAGAGAATTAAGAACCAGCACTTTAGAGACAAGTTCTACAAATGTGGAAGGCTCAATGCCAGGGCAAGCCAGAGTTCAGCAATGGGCTCGCTGGGGAAGGTGGGGAACTCTCAGCTGCTAAGGGATTAAGAAAGGGAGGGGCTGTAGGGCCTGCAGTGGTCTGAAAGGAAGCCTGGGAGGGCAGGACTTGGGCCTTAAAGAATGAGCAGGACCAGTGCACGGACAGAAAAAAGGTCTTTCAGGCCTCCAGGCCAGGGCTCCGCAGAGCTGGCACAACGAGAATCTGATCCTGAGTCTTATCTCAACTGATAATGACAGAGTTTACAAAGCTGCTCCTCACTGTGGGGGCTTCTGGCCCTGCAGTTGGGCTTCTGGGCTTTCAGGGGCCTAGTGACAATGTAGTCACGGGACTGATCTCTCTGTGACCAGGAATTTTTACTTCAGTCCATGGCCTCACCCATAATAGCTCTGGCTTTTGTTAAGACAACAAGGAGGGTAAGACAAGAGAGCAAGGGTGACACAGTGTCAACCCCTCCTCTGTGCACGCCTTCTGTTACAGGTATGTGGGGCTGAGGAGGGGCCACAAGATGGACTCACGTACCAAGGACCAGCCTGTGGCTGGTCGGAGAACATTTTCCAACTCTTATTTTGCTGGGTGTTTTCAGTACCATGCTCTGACCTGGTCCTCCTCTGGAAATATTATAGTTGCAGATGGTTGCACGTGTCTGTGGTTGCAATGAGTCAGACTCCGTGGCCCTGTTGACGTGTCTGAGGGCAAAATCCTCCAAGGAGTTGCTGGCTCTTGGCCAGGTGAGGGGAAAGGGGAGAGTTTTGAGGGGTAGGGGAATTCAGTCAATGGAGTGGGGCACAAATCCTATCCCTCGGTTATTCAATTTTGGGGGGTACTTAGAAAAGGGGTAATAGTTGGTAAAACACAAATGTGGGGTATAGAACCTGTATAAGTAATTTCAGGAACATGACAGGCGGGGGTGTGACTTAGCCTGGGTAAAATCTTTATGTCACTGATGGTATCTCACTGGAAAGAGGGACCATGCTTGTTCCCCAAACCTCCAAAAGCTAAAGTCAAAATCAGGAGTTGGAAATTCTATTAGGGAACCATTTTGGCTTTGAATAACTGAGAACTTTCTAAAACTTCAGTCTTCTGGAAGAGGACTGAGCTCCTTTAGATGACCCCTCTGCAAGTATTTAAGCAAGGTCTGCCTGATGAACTTTGATGAGCTTTTTAATCACTGGACCATTAATAAGGCTGCATGATTTAATATGTACCTCCTAATGTTGAGGGGCTTTGATAGTCTTTGGAAGAGCAAGGTCATCATCTGCCAGATTCCAACATTTGCTAGTTACGTGGCTTACATTAAAGATGTACTGTGAGCTGTGCTAGACTAGGTTAAACCAATAATAAGCCCTTGGCCTGATGTTGTGTCAAGCTGAGAGGAAGGGAGCTACGTGCACATTTCTGTGCTTGCAGTACATCAGCTGTGTGCTCCCTTCTACCCAACTCCTAAACAGAAGCTGAAGGAAACCATGATTAGAGCCCATTGTTGCTTTCTAAGACTCCAGAAATACCCAGCTGTGTTCAAGGCACAGACAGTGCTCTGGGAAGGTATTCACACCAGCCCCTGCTATCTTTGCCACTCCCTTCCCTCCCCATTTTTCCCTTTGCATTTGGCCAGTGGTTCTCAGCCTTGGGCATGAATCAGAACCACCTTGAGGACTTGCTGAGTAAGTGTGCTGGGCTGTACCCCCAGATTTTCATATTTAGTAGACCCAGAGTGGGGCCTGAGATTTTGCATTTCTAAGTTCTCAGAGCCTGCTGGTCCAGGAACCACACTGTGTTAGACCATTATTTTTCTTAAATTGGTACTACTATTATTCCATCTAGCAGATGAGAAACTGAAGCAAGTTTAACCCCTTGCGCAAGAAAGTGGCAAAGCTGGTCCAGGGACTGTTGCATTGAGCTGGGCCAAAAGTGGTTTGTTTCTATTTTTTGAATGCATTTTGACTGCTGTAGGCCAAGGTTGGCTTAGCTTGGCTAGGATTCGGGGATAGCAGATTTTGTGAGCAAAAACAGCGACTGATTTTTCTTTTCTTCCTCATTACAGAAAGCGTCTTTCACGCGAGTGATTGATGGGCTTTTCTTCCCGGATGAGCCGCTAGAATTATTGTCTCTACAAGCATATGCAGCAACTCCGTCTATCATCGGCATCAATAACCAGGAGTGTGGCTATGTTCTGCCCTTGGTAAGAGGTCTGGTGTCTGCACGGCCACTTCCTCAACAGTGATGTAGCTGTTTGCTTCAACAGCTGGGTGTTTTTCTAGATGACACCAAGTGTTCTGTGGGCTGGAGTCCACCAGCCAAAAACAGAGTGAGAATCCTTCACTGAAAGAGGGGAACTGAGGACCCGGGGAGGTGGTGTCACAGAGAGTGACATTGCTCCTCACATGATGAGGTTTACAGTGGGGATTGAGTTCCTTTGGTCTTTTCTTATAAAACATTGTAAATTATTGTTTTCAAGGTATTCAGAGTTGACCTTCAAATAGGTTCAAAAATCTTCAGTCCTTTAAACTGTTCATGTCCAGCCACAGTTTGGCATTGTGACTTCTAAAAATGATGAAATGATCTTAAAGGTTGTGCAGGTGGTAAAATTATCAAATCGTTTTATTTATTTGACAGGTATGTACTGAGTGTTTACTACATACTTGCAAAAAAATGAGCATTCAGCTGTGAACACGGTTTCAGCATTCTGGGAGCTTTCATTCTGGAGGGGAGAGACAGATGAGACATAAGTCGAAAAGATGATGTCAGAGAGTGACAGATGCTTTGAAGGATACAAATGCGGAGAGAAGGCATCTTCAGGGTAGAAAAAGGGTGGTCAGGAAAAGGCTCTTCTGAGTTGAGATCATTGAGCTGAGAAGGAGCCAGGATTTTTTGAGTGTGGTTTAGGAAGACCCTCCCCATTGAAAGTGAACTTCTCATCAGTCCTCAGAAGACCGGAGGGTTTGCATTCATAACACCCTCAAAGCTCATTCATAGAGACCAACCTCTTTGTTTTAAGCTGGAGGAAATGAGCTTAAGAAACAAAGAGGTATGTTAAATTAAAAATATCATTGGTCACTGTCAAGAACCAGAACCCAGAGTTCACTAGATTATTAAAGGATATTCTGCCGTTACTCATTTGATCTCCAGAGCAATGTTCTGGGGGTGAAGCTGAGGATTTCTGTCCTCATGTTGTAAATGAGGCAACTGAGTCACATTTTGTGGCTTAAGTAAAGCCTTCTAGTGCTTTCTGGGTGTGTGCTAGGAAGAAGGCAGGTGCTACTGGTGACAGCCACCAGCAAAACCACTGTAACTGTCCCTGGGTGCCTTCCCAAGAGCAAACAATCTGTGCAACAACTTGCAAACAGCCACTATTGTTCCTATTTTACAGCTAAAGAAACTGAGGCTCAAAGAGGCTAAAATGACTTTCCTAAGTCTCCCGGCTATGGAGCCAGTAGTGTATGATTTTTATGCATGTAGACGCCACCTTTAAGTGCTAGGTTCTTTGCTTACCTGCTGTGTGATGTTAGGTGAGTTGCCGAATCTCTCTGAATAGTGTTAATACACACCTCATAGATACTTGTCAAATAGGCTGGCGTGGAGTGAGTGCTCAGTAAGCACTAGGTATCGGACTTATTCAAGTGACAGAATGGGAATTGATACCCGGATCTTCCCAGCTCAGAAACCTGTATTGGTGCCAATATTCCATGTGCACTTGTAATTAAATCCATTATTGGCTCCTGGAGACCAAAGGAGATCCTTCAGAAGCAAATTCCAGCTCATTAGTTGAGGGGTTTTAGTAGTTCGAATTTGCTTGTGGATAATGTGAGTAACTCTAGAGGTTCCCTCAGATTCCAGGACACAGGTGTGTTTAGATATCCACATGATGCCCTTGTGGTTTATTACCCCAAGATCTTCAGCAAAAAATGCATTAAGCAGATGCATTTGACAAGTGAATGGTGTTTCTGCCTCTCTTTTTTTCAGGTTATAACATTGCCAGAAAATGATCATTTAACAAATTATGATGCATGCATAGCTCTTCCTTTGTACCAAACACTGCTGTGAGCTTTACAAATATCAGCTCACGCTGTTCTCATCACAGTCCTGGCATGGGAGCAACTGTCACTGTCACTGTCTCCATCTTATGGATGGGAAGCCTGAGGCAGGAAGAGTTATGTCCCATGCCAAGTTTACAGCTGGTGAGGGCAGGGCAGGGAGCCTGTGTTCTCAGCCACCAGCCTCCTTGCCTCCCTGCCCAGCCCTACAGCTGGCTTCCCAGAGGCCCTGACTGCAAAGGTCTTTAGGAGAACAGCAAACCACCAAGTTTCAAGATTTTCTGGATTCTCTTTGAACTTGGTGTGGGAGCCAAGTTGTGGTCTGTATTAGGCAGGTTGAGGTGTGGTGACAAAACACCAGACTAGTCAGCTTAAACAACACAAAGGCATTTTCTCACTGTCCTGGAGGCTGGAAGTCCAGGATCAAGGTGCAGTCTCCCTTCCATGTGCTCTCATTCCTGGTGTCTCTGTGTGTCTAAAATTCCTCCTCGGAAGGACTCCATTCAGATGGGATCAGGGCCCACCCTCCTGGCCTCATTTTAACTTAATCACCTCTGTAAGGGCCCTGTCTCCAAATATCGTCACATTCTGAGGTGTTGTAGGTTACAGCTTCATCAGAGGAGTTTGTGGGGGACACAGTCCAGCCCATAACAGTCTCCTTTCCACAGGGCAGTCACTCAGGCCCCACAAGGCTGCGGGTGTGATGGGGGTGGCTGCCTTCCATCAAGCGTGAGAGTGTATCAAAGGTTCTTGTTCTTCCCACTCTTCCCTTGGAAAGTCAGGTTCCCAGGCCCTCGGAGAGACTGGTTCACCTTCGGATAGCCAGGTGGCTCACTGGGGACACCCTGCTTCTCTCCACAGAAGGAGATACCTGAGGTCCTCGCTGGCTCCAACAAGTCTGTAGCCCTCCGCCTGATCCACTCCATCCTGGTATGTGAGCTTGGGGACGTGGGGCTGCACAGACCCATTCTGTTAACAGACACCCTTGTCACACTCAGGAGAGGAGCCAGGGGAGAGACACTTCTCATTCATTCAACAGACCTTTCCTAAGCGTGGGCTCCCAATCCCAACACACAAGGCTCTGAATCCAAAGAGCTCCCCAAACCCACAGGCTTTTTGTAACCCACCTGGCAGCCAACCTGACCCAGGCGGGTCTGTAGCCGTCAGTTTTTTGTAGTTCCAACATGTTCATTTACTTTATTTACCACACTATTCCCGTGCTTCTCTGGGGATGGATTAGCATGGATGTTGGGGTGCTTCCCCATCCCAGTGTATATTGTAACATGAAGTGTATGTACTATCTCCCTGCAGTCTGAGAAGTTCCAGATTCTGAAACACACAGAGGACCAGGAACCGATATTCAGGACGGTGGCCAGCCTGGCGCTGTGCCAGGTTCTGACGACCCTCATCCTTTACTCACTCATTCATCCATGCCACAAACATACCGTGTCAAATCTTACTCTAGACCACGGATTTCAACCTTTTTTTTTTTTTTAATCTCACAGCACACTTGAACCTATAGTTAACTTCCACTGCACACTTTAATTGATCAAAAAAGAGTGAAAAAAAGAATAATACTTACTGTGCTTTGAACTTCTTTCAAAGATAATTTAATGAATGATCTTTAAAAATGTTCATGGCACACCTAAGATCTTCATACAGCACACTGGTTGGAAATCACTGTTCTCGACACTAGGCTGTAGAGATAGATTGCTTTCCTTCTTTCCCTCTCTCCTCCCATCCATCTCCCCCCTAACATTTATGCAGGTGGACTCAGTGCTGAGTTCGTTTCATTTGTTTCTTTGTGGAACCAATGTTTAGGGAAGTGTCCCTGCACTTCCCTCGGCACTGGTGGGCCATGTGGGATGGTTGGAGATGACAGGACACTCAGTGTGCATGAAGCAGAGGAATGTCCAAGGCCCTGTGGTGCACACCAGAGGGGCAGGTGGCTCCATTGGAGAGAATTTGAGGGATTGCAGGATTCAATTTCCATTTTAGAAAAAGCCTTCTGGCTGCAGAGTGGGCAGGGATCCCTCAGGCCCCAGGGCTTGGTGGAGGGATGGGTGTTTGATGGGTCTTGGCTGTGTGGTGATGAGAATGAGGACAAAGGTTTGAAAGAGATTAAAATGTCAGCCAGGGGTGGTGCCTGGAGTAGGGCACCAGCCCCATATACCAGAGGTGGTGAGTTCAAACTCAGCCTCGGCCAAAAACTGCAAAAAAAAAATGTCAGTTAGATAGTGGACTCTTTCAGGCTGAATTGAACACGGCTTCAGGGAGGAGGTGGCCATTGATCTGGGCCTTCAGGAGGGGAACACTTGAGCAGGAAGACATTTCAAGTGGAAAAGGGAGCCTGACTCAGTCCCAGGGTGAGAAGCAGCTCGTATCGAAGGTGCAAAGGGACCAGAAGGGCATGGGTCTCCCCTAGGCTCTGTCACATGCCAGGTGCTGCTTTCCAAATGGTCAGTAGTTCTTTGATACAGAAGGGAAAGTCTTGCCGGAGAACCCTCGAGCCTTACATTCCAATTGTCCTGTGGACTGTGGCCCGAGACTCCACTCTCTATATACATCTTGGATACCAGCACCATGGGAGCTGTTGGTCCTGGGGTCCAAGCAGCCAGGCCCTTGCCCCATAGCCTGTACCTGCTGCAGAGCCTGCCCTTGCCCTGGACCTGATTAAAAACCACCAGGCTCCAAAGGACCCCATCAACAAGTCTGAGCAGCTTGGTGTACCCTGCTTTGCCTCCAGATTCCATGGCAACCTGCCAATCTTGGTGGTAGGGGCTTGAGGTGCAACATTTTGTCCAGCACTGGCAGAGATTCCCTAAAAACACCACCACTGGGATAGACTCCTGAATCTTTTTGAAGTTCACCTCTACCCTCTGCCATTTGTGCCTGGGGCAAGTTAAGCGGGAGAAGCTTGGGGGGGAGATGAGTGCTGAGCCAAAAGGTCAGGAAGGCAGCAAGAGCCGTTAAGGCCCTTGGCCGTAGGGCTCCTGGGATCAGGCAGGACCAAAGGCCTGCTCGGGGTGGGAAACGTGCTTTTCTCTTCACATCTTGTGTAATCCTCCGAACTACCCATTTTTCATAGATGTGGGAATGGAGGCTCCAAAAGGCCAACTGGCTTAGGAAAGGTAACAAAAGGCTGCAGGCAGTGCTGGTACCAGAGCTGGGCCTGTTCAGTGGATGTGTGGCCTGTGTTCTCACAGAGGGCCCATGCTCAGAAGGGTCCTACATTTCAAGATGGCTCTGCTGTCACCATCTGCAAATTCTTAGCAACTTTTGAGCATCTACAAATGATGTGGCTGCTTCTACCCAGCAATGACTCTTTCTGAAAGATGGTAGTGAGGCCCGTGTCCTGTGGTTAGCAGCATGGGATTTAGGTGAAAATAGATTTGTGAAAGAATCATGGCTCTACCAGTTTGGACCCAGCAGTTCACCTCTGCACATCTCAGTTTCCTCATCTGTGAAATGGGCTGATTTTCATAGGGTTGCTGTATGGATCAAATGATCCTGCAGGTAAAGCATTTAGAATCATGCCTGCATAGGTAGGTACTCAACCTGTTGGCCAGTGCTGCTGACCTGGGTCTCCTGTGACCATGATTTTTTACAGAATGTCCCCTTACAATATTTGCACACTGTGGCTTATGAATACTTCAGTGACATGCAGTCCCTGGATGAAATCCGAGATAGTCTTCTGGACTTGTTTGGAGATGTGTTCTTTGTAGTCCCTGGGGTGGTCACAGCTCGCTATCACAGAGGTGAGTCTCTAAGCACATCCTCCAGGTCAACAGCCCAGGGGGGCCGATGGCTGCAGGGATCCCTGCTGTCTGCTGAGCAGCTGCCTCCTCTGCCCTGCGGCTTCCCAGGTGTGTCAGGGATGTGGCTATGTTGACCTTTGCAATTTCCATGCCTTTCAGAGTTTGGAAATGTTGCTCAGTTCTTGTTTTTTTGTTCCTTCCCCTTCTTCAGGACCACCTAGAAAATTTCCATCTCCCTGTAATGTTCTGGCGGATGTCCCAGATTATTTACTCTATAAGGAGTAGTGGAATAACTGCAAAGACAAGATTATCTGTGGAGACATTCCACTCCCCTCC